AACAGGCACGGTCAGCACTAGTAGGCAATGCATACATGGCAGTGAGAATAGCATCATAGTCAAGAGCAAAGATATCTACCCTCTGTCCAAGCAGCTCCAGCCAGGTGGGGAGCTCAGCCTCGTCGCCAAACACTGTACGCCAGGCGTCGCTCAGACGGGCGAAGCAGCGGGACTGTGTGTGACCAAGCGTCCCGCAAGGCTGACCAACCCGATCACCTGTGCGAATGACGTACTGGCAGCGAACTGTATACAAAGACCCTCCACTCTGAGCGTACCACTCGTGGAGCTGCTGGGACGTAAGTGTCTCGCGTGGACGCCGCTGCAGCTGCAGCTGGCCACTGCCAGACGCTCCCAACTGACCAGCTCCAGGGCGACAGCTACGACGGCTACCACGACAACCCCAGCTAGTATACCACTCACTAAGCTGCTGGGGCGTGAGAGGCTCGCGTGAATGTCGCTGGAGCTGCATCTGGCCACCTGCCAGTAGCAGTAGCAGCAGCAGTAGCGCGGGCAGGGCAGGCGCGGCAGGCAGGCAGGCAGGCAGACAGGCAGGCAGGCAGGCAGGCAGACAGACAGGCAGGCCGGTAGGCAGGCAGGCAGGCAGGCAGGCAAGCAGGCAGGCAGGCAGGCAGGCAGGCAGGCCGGCAGGCAGGCCAGTAGGCAGACAGGCAGGCAGGCGCTCACCAAAGGCTGGAAGAGTAGGCGCTTGCCGGGCGAGCAGGGCCGGTGCTCGACGGGCGGCGATCGAGTAGACGCACGACGGCGGCGACGGCGGGGCCGCTTCAGCGGCAGTTGCAGGGTGGGGCCGCGTCAATGGCATGTCAGGGCCGCGGCAGCTGCAGGGCGGGGCCGCATCAGCGGCAGGTCGGGGCCGAGGCAGCAGTGGGCCGCGCGCTGGGCTGCTGCGGGCTGCGCGAGGCAGTAGCGGGCCGCGCGCGGCTCGGCGCGGGCTGCTGCGGGCCGCGCGAGGCAGTAGCGGGCCGCGCGCGGCTCGGCGCGGGCTGCGCGGGCTCGGCGCGGGCTGCGCGCGGCAGCAGCGGGCTGCGCGCGGCTCGGCGCGGGCTGCGCGGGCTCGGTGCGGGCAGCGCGCGGCAGCAGCGGGCTGCGCGCGGCTCGGCGCGGGCTGCGCGGGCTCGGTGCGGGCAGCGCGCGGCAGCAGCGGGCTGCGCGCGGCTCGGCGCGGGCTTTTTGGGCTCGGTGCGGGCAGCGCGCGGCAGCAGCGGGCTGCGCGCGGCTCGGCGCGGGCTGCGCGCGGCAGCACCGGGCTGCGCAGGCTCGGTGCGGGCAGCGCGCGGAAATAGGGGGCCTGACGGGCCTGCAAGGGCGGTTCGCGGGCCTGAAGGGCCTATAGGGGCGGCTCGCGGGCGTGACGGGCCTCCAGGGGCGGCGCACAGGCCTTACGGGCCTGCAGGGGCAGCGCGCTGGCCTAGGGCAGCAGGAGGCAGCACTAGGGCTGCTGGACGGCGCGCGTAGTGCAGCACGTCACAAGGCAAGGCAAGGCAGGCAGGTACGTGGGGTAGCGCGGTAACCGCAGCGGTAGGTGGGCCCGAAAAAAAACGGTCCTACGGACCTTAGTGCTCTGAAACCATGTTAGAATCTAGCAGCAGGAATGAATGAACTAGCAGCATGATGGGTACAAGTAGTAAACCCTAATTTGGGTTGTACCCCATATGGGCTACCCCACTACAGCCTACACAATAAGCAGCATATATGTTTGACACACTTCGTGACAGCACACGTAATGTAATGTCGTGTCAAATTGTACAGTTACGACAGTTGGCAAAGGGGATTCCCAAGTTACTGGGAAGGGGGGTTACGGGAAGGTTGGGGGGGGGCCCGGGGGTTGGCTGGAACTCGCTTCAGGGTAAAACTCGATAAGAGAATCGGCAACCCTGAGGCGACAGTGTAGCTTAATCGTAAACCCTTGCACATCAGGGTAAATGAAGGTCCGAAAAGTTTTACCCTACCGCATCAGTGTTACTACCTAAAAACCACCCTGTTCATCAGAGCATCAGGGTGATTTACCCTGAAAAAATAGGCACTGGTGTCGAAACCAAACCTCGGTGAAAATCGACGATCGAAAGCAGTTCCCAGCACCTGAAGCAGGCCCTTAGATTGGTTTGAGGGTATGCTGACGGATCAGCATGCCCCGACCAACGAGGTGTCCAAATCAGCGTTCACAGTTTTATTTATACTGATTTTGCCAGTGTAAAAATCATAAGTAAACTGAACAAACAGTGTAAAAGAAAAAAACTTAAGCTGAAACACCAGAACAGGGTGTGTGGTGTTGTTGCAGCGAGGCTAAACACTTCGACGCGCACCTGAAATCTGTGCAGCGCATGCGGAAAAATCTCAAGTGTGTGGGTGGGGTTTCGTGAGTCACGGGAAGGTACAGACTGTACACGCGTACCCTATATCCCCCACCCGCTCCCCCCTGTCAGAATTATATTCTTATACCTGCATGCAGTTCTAGCTGTAGTGTAGATATTAACTTTATAGGTGGTGCACCACTTTGTTTGCTATATGTACCCTAGTGCTATAGTGAACACATCATCCTTCTCTCATTCTCGACTCCCTCCTTGGCACAATCTACCTCGATTGCCTTGGGCCTAGGCTACTAAGCCTAGGCCCACTTAAACTCAACCACAACTTCATGCCTAAGATTCTAAGATGGTATCAGAGCCTGTTAAGTCCTGGCCTGTGGGCCAGCCACTCGTTTCCGCTGCTGTTTTTCCGGTCGCGCGCCTCGGGCGCGTTGCGATTTTCGTTCTGTCCCGCGCCCGGGTGGTGCGTGACGTTTTGTCTGAGCCGCCGCGGACCCGCCTCTGGCGCCCGCGACGGTGTGCTGAGCCGCCGCGGACCCGCCCCTGGCGTCCGCGACGGTGTGCTGAGCCGCCGCGGACCCGCCCCTGGCGCCCGCGACGGTGTGCTGAGCCGCCGCGGACCCGCCCCTGGCGCCCGCGACGGTGTGCTGAGCCGCCGCGGACCCGCCCCTGGCGCCCGCGACGGTGTGCTGAGCCGCCGCGGACCCCCCCCCCCCCCCCCCCCTCTCCTCCTCGTTCGTCTCCCTGCTGCGCGTGCAGCCGTGGGGGGGAGGGTATGGAGGTGGCGGGTATGGGAGTGATGGGTGGTGTGTTTCCCTTCCCCTCCTCCTCCTTTCGTTCCCACTGCTGCAGCTGCCGCTGGGGGGGAGGGTGTGGTCCCTCTGAGGTGGGCGGGGGGAGGAGGAGAGTAAAGGGATGGCAGGAGTGCCTGCCCCTTTTGCTGCTGTGCCTTGCCTGCTATTTTCTCTGTCTGTGGTGTACCCCTGCAGGTTGTGTTCTGCACTTAGCTATTCCTGCATGCAGTTACGGGGGGATGTCAGAATTATATTCTTATACCTGCATGCAGTTCTAGCTGTAGTGTAGATATTAACTTTATAGGTGGTGCACCACTTTGTTTGCTATATGTACCCTAGTGCTATAGTGAACACATCATCCTTCTCTCATTCTCGACTCCCTCCTTGGCACAATCTACCTCGATTGCCTTGGGCCTAGGCTACTAAGCCTAGGCCCACTTAAACTCAACCACAACTTCATGCCTAAGATTCTAAGACCCCCCCCACCTCCCCCCCCCCCCTCCTTAACAAACGCGCGCGCGCCGCGCGGTCAAGTCCGCGTTTCAGTGTGACTCACATCGCTATACTGATTCGTCTGTGTTACTTGTACAGCAAGACGCAAAATGGTCAGCGTTGCTAGGTAGGTTATACTGAAATTTCAGTGCAGAATTGCAGCATATGCTGAAATTTCAGGGAAAACGAAAATCACAGCTACAAAATCAGCCTAATCAGCGTGTTTTACGTTGATATCTGAAGGCCTGACCTGAAGGAACCTGTACATACGGCAAGGCCACAATGCCAAATTGCAAATGCGACATGGCAATCAGCTTGTGATCGATCGCTTTACGAGTCCATGCACCAAAATACATACTTCCTAGTACAATTGAACCTTAGTAACAACTTCATGAAAGCAGCCACATCCTACCGTCATACCCCGGATATACCCCCATGGGGGGCAATAATAAAACATGTTTTTTTAGGGGGGGTGGGCTTATAATCGGGTAAATTTATAAGCGCCGGCGTTTATAAAACGACATATATATTTTATATATTTTTTAACACCAAGCTGTAGATCTCGTGCTTGCATTTTCAATCGAGTCGAAGTTACATGGGGTCGTCTGTGAAATTCTCGCGCGCACTGGGAGATACACCAAATCTGACAGCTTCTGACAGCTTCTGACAGCTCCTGACAGCTCCTGCTGACTGGACCCGCATCCAGTGCAGGGTCCGAATGTGAAGGGAACCGAATCTGGAGACATCCGCCTGCTAAAGTAAAATTCGTTACAGGGTTTTGAACATATTTCAAGAATTAAAGTCTACGTGCGCTTATAATAAAACAGGTTTTTTTCAGGGGGTGCGCTTATAATCTAGCAGCGGATATAAGCGCCATGCGCCAATTAAAAGCGCCAGGCGCTTATCCAAGGGTGGCGCTTATATCCGGGGTATGACGGTATATCAACTCACTCAAATACACAGTTCCAAAGTTCAGCTCAAATTGACTACATTCAGACAAATGTCGTCTGACAATGGTGATACTGCTCCCAGCCATTGCTTCCCGTGCATGATCTTTCCTCTCGGCCTCAAAAACCGATGTGTGCCAGCAGTTGTTCCAGTTCCTCGTGACCCACTATATCACTTCCTCTCTTTACCGCCAATTCTAACTCCATTGCATCCAGCAGCTGCATCTCCAGACCACATGGTACACCCCCTTGTCCACCCTTCGCTCCCCCCACCTACCCCCTTTCCTCGACCCTTATTCAAAGACCGTTGCAACCAGCAGTAGCAGCCCTTACACCATAACAACCCCCACTGATCCACCTTTCTTGCCCCTCCCCCCCTCACGAGGCACGTCTCCAGCAATCATTTGCCGATCCCATGCAGTTACCCTGTTTCCCGGGAGCAGTTACCCGCCAATTCCTGACGTGTCGATCCCGCATTGGCCGCGAACAGCACCGCTGGGGAAATTGCTATTCGCCACGGCGCCATAATGCGCCTGAGTCTTCTTCGCAATGGCCAATACTGCATCGGTCAGTACCGAGCCATCAGCAGCAGTCAGCGCGCTCATTCCGACCCACGACCCGCTAAACACGTAGTTGTAACCGAGCGGAGCGGGCGATTTCGGGAACCACGAGATGATTCCGAAGCTTTGGGACCGCGACGCGTTGTACCAGGTGACTTCGGCGCCGAAATCGATCACTGTAGACCCGTCTTCACCCTCGTAGCCGGTGTTGATAACGGCTGCAATGGGGACCTCGGGCTCCTTAAGCTTGACGAAGCCCCCGTAGTAGCCGTCATGATCCCCGTCGTCTCTGCCGGGAAGGAAGGAGGGGGCGAACAGGGGAGGGTGAAAGGAGGAGAACGAGGGACCTCGGCCTCTTTGAGCTTGACAAAGCCCCCGTAGTAGCCGTCATGATTCCCGTCGTCTCTGCCGGGAGGGAAGAAAAGAAGGGGAGAGGTGGGGTGGGGATAACCGCTGCAATGGGGACCTCCTAAAAAGCGCACCTCCTAAAAAGGAGGATGAAGTAACGATGGCAAGCACACCTCACAAACGGGAGGATGCAGTAGCAAGGACAAGCGCACCTCTTGAAAAGGAAGATGAAGAAGAATCCAAAGGCATGATCCTCCCCGATCTGGTTACCCTTGGAGTCCCTTCCCCTCATGACACACATTATGGCCGCTGCAGTGGGGAGGGTGGTTAGAAAGGGAAAACCGAAAGAACTTTTGAGTTGGAAAAGGAAGAACAGGAGAGGAGTGGAATGGGGGGACATTGGGGAAGGGAGAGGACTTGTTGCTCCAACAGTGTTGCCTTGCGTATCCCTTCTCCTCATGACATGACACACATTCTGGCTGGTGCAAAGGAGGGACTGGAGGGGATGCAGGAAAGGGAGAGCAGGGGGAGAGGGGAACGGGGAGACAGGGGCTGTGGGGAGCGGGAAGGCAGTTTTTCTCCAATAGTGTTACCCTGCGAGTCCCTTCCCCTCATGGGACACTTATGGCCGCTGCACAGAGTCGAAAGAAAGAAGGGGCGGGAGGGGGGGAAGGTGGAGGGGAGAGATGAGGGGTTGGCAAGGGACCAGCAGGTGACCAGCACGTGACCAGCAGGTTCCGCGTGCCACAGTGCTCGCTCGCCTGCAGTCACTCAAAAGTGGGAGGGGGGAGGGGTGAGGTGGTGGGGGAGAGGTAGGGAGGGGGGTTGAGGCGCCTCAATGCTTAGCCACTAAGCTCGTTCATCTGCAGTCACTAAAAGCGGGGAAAAAAAAAAGTTTTGGGGCGGCTTAAAGCCGAACAACAAATCTCGCTGACATCTAACTTCCAACTTACTGTGCAAGCAATTGTAATTGCAGGACTTACTGCACAATTGTGTAGCTGGCCATTGTTCGCGAATCGCAATGTGACGACGCGACTTTTGAGTCCGACTAGAAAATCACCCTTGCAAGCCAATGTAACAATAATAATCAACCCAACTTACTGCGAATTTTGTTGTAATTGTTCCACTCACTTCGCATCTTAGTGTAGCTGGCCATTTTGTCCGCGGATTGCTTCGTCACGTAGTTCTTAGCTTCGATCCGCATCCGGTTCATTTGGAGCTGCCTCAGCTTCTCCTGAAAGCCCCTGTAATACTTGTTGCTCCGCAGCCCCGCTGTAAGCTTTTCGAGGCCTTGCTGTGACGGGTAGGCTGATTTTACGGGCACTGGAAAGGGGATGCGAGGAGGGGCGCGGTGTGGACGGGGGGAGGAGGGGGGGTTGAGGGGAGTGTGAGGGGGAGAGGAGAGGTGCGGGCAGGTGGGGGTTCGGTTCAGGGGTGGGTGGGGGTATGAGCGGAAGGAACAAATAAGGATTCAACGGAAACGGACAGGCAGACAGCATGGGTACTGCGGTTCTGCAGGGGGGTGCGGGGCGGGGAGAGAGGGGGGTGGGGGGGGGGGGGGGGGGGGGGGGGGGGGGGGGGGGGGGGGGGGGGGCGTAGGTGGCTGTGGGGAATGTGTGGAGTGTGGGGATAAGGAGGGCGAAGGACGGGGAACGAAAAGACGCGGTGTGTTTTGAGTCGAGTGAAACAAACGTAGGGGACGTGGAAAGCGTGTGGGATAAGGAGGTCGAAGGATAGGGGACGAACTCACACAAGCACCAGGTCCGAATCGAACAAGCACCAGGTCCGAATCGAACAAGCACCAGGTCCGAATCGAACAAGCACCAGGTCCGAATCGAGATTGAAAATGAAACGTAAACGACGAATCGATATAAGCTGCGACACGAGGTACGCATAAGCGCGCACAACGCGCTTTGACACATCACGAATAAAAGAATAAGAGAGTCGATACTAAGTGGGAGCTTTTACCTCTGAGCGCACATGACGATTTTTGAGGCGCCTCGAGAAAAGACAATGAGAGGCGGACTCACACGTCGCGAGAAGGCATAGAGCGGCGACGGCGACGGAGACGAGCACGAAGCGCCTCATGCTGGCGCGGCGTGATGCTCTACGGAGGCCCCCAATGTCGTGTCGAGGGACGAAAGGTACTTCTAATTGTACCGGAATAAGATTGTAGTGATTAGTTCCGCGCTCGGGGCGAAGTAAACAAAGATGAATGGTTTTCCTTTCGGAGCAGGTTATAGAACGTTGGGGATGCGCTCTTAAGGCTCTTATTAAATTCGCATATGATTTCGCGGACGGGACGAGTAAAAAAAAGGGACGGGTGATGAACGCCGTAACTGACGGTACTTTTTGTGTTATGTTCTGCGGCGGTTCGGGATTGCGAAGAAAGAAAGCGAGTCCCACGCTCTAATCCACTAGCGCAAGATTTACGAGTGAAAGAAAGTGAGTCCCACGCTCAAGATTTACTAGCGCAAGATTTACTAGCTCAAGATCCACTAGCGCAAGATTTACTAGCGCAAGAAAGAGAGTGAGTCTCACGCTCTAATCCGCTGGTCTCGGTCTGCTCGCTCAACGCACGCATAGAAGGGCAGGAAGATCAGAAGGGGGAGGGGAGGGGACGATGTGGTGTGCGGCAGTGTGTCAATGGCAGTGCTGGTGGTGTGTGGTCGTACAACCCATGTTGTGCATTGGCGGCGTGTTACCAAACCTTGATTGGCAACAACATGAGTTGGTTAGGACGAGATCTGAACGGGAGTTACGTTCGGGGGAGAATACGATTTTCGCGAAAATGCCAAATGCTCCGCTGCGCCGAGGACATTTGCTCCGCTGAGGGATACGGTACCGGGGGCAGGACCACTGCTTCCCGCACCCAGTAAACGGCGCCCAATAGCCTCTCCCCATTCCCCCCCCCCCCCCCCCCCCCAATTCCCTTGGCTCTGTCTCCCGGCGACACAGCTGTCAATAGGTGTAGGTTCGGTTCGGAAGTCGAAAAGGCGGCAGAGCGGCTGGTTGAATGCGATTCGCGTCCTGGTACACTTGCCCAGCTAGGTAGGCCAGGCCACCACCAGCTCCTGTACGTTCGGTATGGTCCGCACCTGCAGGTGGGTTTTCTTTGCCTCAGCAGCCACACAGTGCAGAACCAAACCTCGGTGAAAATCGGCGACCGAAAGCAGTTCCCAGCACCTAAAGGAATCTGTACAAACCCAATGCCGAATTGCAAATGCGACACGGCGATCAGCTGATCAAGCACAGTTCCGACGCACCTACACTTCTAAAATATAGTACAGTTGTTAGGATTGCACTAGAGTGTCAAACGAGTACAAAGATGTGAGCGAAGGCATGAGCGAACATTTATACGCGAAACATGCAAACGGTAACGCGGTGCGTGCGAGCTAGCTAGTGCTACGCTGGCAATGAGGCTCGGGCTAGTCCCGAAGCGTAGGCCGACACGGCCGGGCCAGCAGTGCGAGGTTTGGCAAAACATTGCAAGCGAAGTTGGCGAAGTCCCGTTAGCAGTAACGGGCGAACAACGGCAGTGCTGTACGCGATGTATCCGGACTCTGTAAGGAATGCCGAGAATATTCCTTACACTACCCCCCCCCCCCCCCCCCTCAAGAAGCCCCCCTCTGCTACGCGAGTCCGTGTATATCGCGGAATCCTGTGCTCCTCAGGTACACTTGCAGGGCAGGGTGGTTTTCGATGTTGGCCAGGGGCACCCAGCTATCTTCAGTTGGCGTGCGGTCCTTCCAGCGAACGAGGAATTTGAGGAGATTAACTCTACAATGGTAGGAGCTAGACTACAGGGTGGGCACTGGTTGTAGGAGTGATCATAGCTCTGTCTGTGTTCTCTAGGACTTGTGCTTTTACAGGGCAAAACAGCAAGAGTTTCACTAAGGAAAGTTGAGAATAACAGAGTTCAGAATGAACAAGCAATGGCAAAGATTGACTACATCACATGCAAGGTTTGCTAGTGCTCAGGCAGGTCGACTGCCAGCGTGACAGAGTTGTCGACCTGCCAACGTAGCAAGTCCGCGGTTCGCCAACGCAGCTTGTACGCGGCTTACCAACGCTGCATATGGCGGCCTGCCAACGCTGCACCCGCGCGGCTTGCCAACGCAGCATCCGCGCGGCTTGCCAACATTGCATCCGCATGTGATTGTTGTCAAACATTATATGTTTATATGATTGTAGGCTGTAGTGGGTTACACCTTAGGGGGTACACTAGATTAGGGTTTCCTACTTGTATCCAACTTTGTGCTAGTACAGTCATTCCTGTCTGTTGATTCCGACATGGTTTCAGAGCAGGTCCTTCGCTAGGACCGTTCTTAGGGCCCACCGCTACCTACCTACCTACCTACCTACCTACCTACCGTGCGCCCTCGTGCGCCTACGCGCCTCAGTGCGCCTCCTAACTACTGCGCGCGCGCAGCCCGCCAGCCAATCGCGCGCGGCTCGTTTTCTATTTTTAACCGCGCGCGACCCGCTAGCTGCCCGCGCGCGGCTGATTTCTTTTGAGCGCGACCGGCTCGCTGCCCGTGCGCCGCTCGCACCGCTATAGCGCAGCCCGCAGCGGCCCCGCCGGCCTGCACATTGCCGCCCGCCCGCTGCAGCGCCCGCCCGCTCGTCGCCCGCTGCAGCTGCCGCTCGCTCGTCGCCCGCTGCAGCTGCCGCCCGCTCGTCGCCCGCTGCTGCTGCCGCCCGCTCGTCGCTCGCTGCAGCTGCCGCCCGCTCGTCGCCCGCTGCAGCTGCCGCCCGCTCGTCGCCCGCTGCTGCTGCCGCCCGCTCGTCGCTCGCTGCAGCTGCCGCCCGCTCGTCGCCCGCTCGGCTCCTTGGCCGCCCGTCGCGGCCCCTTAGCCGCCCGTCGCGGCCCCTTAGCCGCCCGCGGCTCCTTCCCCGCGCGTCGCGGCCCCTTAGCTGCCCGTCGCGACCCCTCAGCCGCCCCTTCGCGGCTTCGTCGCTGCCGGACCTGCAGCAGCTGCCGCCGCCTAGCCTGCAACAGCAGCCGCCGCTCGACCTGCAGCAGCTGTCGCCACCGAGCCTGCAGCAGCAGCCGCCGCCAGACCTGCAGCAGCTGCCGCCGCCGAGCCTACCGCAGCTGCCACCGCCGAGCCTGCAGCAGAGGCCGCCGCCGGACCTTCAGCAGCTGCAGCCGCCGAGCCTGCAGCAGCAGCCGCCGCTCGACCTACAGCAGCTGCCGCCGCCGACCCTGCAGCAGCTGCCGCGGAGCTCCCTGCTGCGACCTGGCCCCGCCCCGCAGTTGCAGCGGCCCCGCTGTCACCACCGTCTTGCGCCCGCCGCGCCTACCTCTGGTGAGCTTTGACCTGCCCTTACTACTCCCACTGCCACTGCTGTTGCTACCACTACTGCTGCTGCTCCTGACGTGGCCAGATGCAGCTCCAGCAGGCTCGTGAGTGGTACGCCGGTTTGGGCAGTCGGGGTGGCCGTAGTGGTAGTCGCTCTGGAGTGTGTCGTTCGGGAGCCTCTGGTAGTGGACAGGTGCAGCAGCCGTGCCCTCTTATGCTCCAGCAGGCTCGTGAGTGGTACGCCGGTTTGGGACGTCGAGGTGGCCGTAGTGGTAGTCGCTCTGGAGTGCGTCGTTCGGGAGCCTCTGGTCGTGGCCAGGTGCAGCAGCCGTGCCCTCTTATGCTACAGCAGGCTCGTGAGTGGTACGCCGGTTTGGGACGTCGGGGTGGCCGTAGTGGTAGTCGCTCTGGAGTGCGTCGTTCGGGAGCCTCTGGTCGTGGCCAGGTGCAGCAGCCGTGCCCTCTTCTGCTACAGCAGGCTCGTGAGTGGTACGCCAGTTTGGGCTGTCGGAGTGGCCGTAGTGGTAGTCCCTCTGGAGTGCGTCGCTCGGGAGCTACTGGTAGTGGAGAGGTGCAGCTGCCGAGTCCTGTGAGTCAGGCTGCCGCTCTAGGTGCTAGTACGTCTGTTGCCCTAGGTGCAGGTGAGGCTTCCACTCCCGGTACTCACGTGTCTACCACTCCAGCTGCTGATGAGCCTACTGCTCTAGGTACTAGTGCGACTGCCACTGCAGGTCCTCTGGTGTCTGCCACCTCAGGTGATGGTGTGGCTGTCGCTCTAGGTGCTCGTGAGTCCGTCCCCCCTGGTACTGAGTCGACTGCAGCACTGCACACCTTCACACTGGACTCAGGTGCTTCTCGCTGTTTCTTTCGTGACCGCACTGCCCTTGAGCCGCTTGCTCGGCCAGTTGCTGTCTCCCTCGCTGACCCCTCAGGGGGTCCGGTCGTTGCGACCTCCTCCACTGTCCTTCCTTGTCCTGCGGTCCCGTCAGGCACACTGTCCGGCCTCTACCTCCCCTCGTTCTCTACGAACTTGGTGGCAGGTAGTGCGCTCCAGGACGCGGGTGTTCACCAGTTCACCCCTGCTTACGAGCGCGTGACCCACTGCACGTGTGCTCGGACGGGCCGTCACCTGGCTACCTTCACTCGGCAGCCAGGGTCGGACCTGTACACACTGACCACTGAGTCCCCTCAGGTAGCTGCGTCCGCGTCTGCGTCTGCGTCAGGTCAGCTGTCCGCCCCCTGCTCGTGTCGCTCTCTGGCGCATGAGACTGTCCTCTGGCACCACCGCCTTGGTCACCCGTCTGTGCAGCGCCTTCGGGCCATGCACAAACGGGACCTTGTTGCTGGTCTTCCCAGGGTTCTCCCTCCCCTCCCACCCTCGCCTGCTCCTCCCTGTCTTCCCTGTGTCGAGGGGCGGCAGCGCGCCGCTCCTCACTCCTCCTCCTTCCCCCCGACGACTGCTCCTTTGCAGACGCTCCACATGGACGTGTGGGGCCCAGCCCGCGTCCGTGGTCAGGGTCAGGAGAGGTACTTCCTGATTGTTGTTGACGACTTCTCGCGCTACACCACGGTCTTCCCCTTGCGCACCAAGGGTGAGGTCCCTGATGTCTTGATCCCTTGGATCCGCAGATCTCGTCTCCAGCTCAGTGAGCGTTTCCGCTCCGACTTCCTTGTCCTGCGTCTGCACTCTGACAGAGGTGGGGAGTTTTCCTCTGGCCTCTTGGAGGCCTTCTGTCAGCAGGAGGGCATTGAGCAGTCGTTCACGCTTCCGGCCTCTCCACA